ATAATATTCCATTCTATGAATTTATCACAAGGTGTTTATCCATAAGTAATTAATACAGAAGCTGGTTGGGCACATGCCAGTGGTTCAATAAAACAAATACAGCAATTCCTGTTCCTTCAAATTTGCAGTTTATACTTGGCTTTTGCTAATGATTATACCTAGAGTTAAATCTGATTTGTAAATCCTTCAATCCTCAGAGTATGGAAAAAAACAGGAATCCCGTGAGAGTCTGAAGAATCTGAGCAGAAAGCAGGAGGAGTAAGAGATAGGCGGTATTAGAGCAGATATCTTTAACATGAACCAAGTTTGCTCTAGGTCCTGGCTCTTGTCAAGGATTGTGAAAAGGCTGAATTAAATACAGGTATAACCCTAACCATCTCTCAGTGTTATCTTCCTCTTATCTTTCCTAGCTCTTTGACCACTGGTTAAAAATTCTTTTTCTCGGCAGACAATCTAAAGAGTTTCAGTTATTCAAGAAAGTCATGCTTGCTTGAATAGTCTGTAGTTTCAGTTAGAACTGCAGTGAAGGCAATGGTGTATATCAAAAAGTATTTTGAGTCCCTTTCCTTGTGACCAAGCACACATCAAAAAAGCAGGAAGGAAGACTGGAGGAAATTACACAATTTATTATGATTTCTCATCATCAAGAGCTCACTGTGTCCAGAGGGAAAGAATAATAGTTCCTATAAAGGTTTCTTTTGGTTATTTGTGATTCCTCCCTCAAGATCTTTACAATCTATTTTGAGAAAGCATAGACAAATCTAGTTTGATCTCATGTGTTGGAAAATGAATGAGATCAATCTAATTTAATTAGTTAGATGTCCACAGAAAACATTTTTTCTAGAGGAGAATGGAGCAATCAGTATTAAAAAAATAATAATAATAATTGAACACTATACTGAGATTATAGAAACTTACTATTACAAATACTATGGGTATGGGTAAATAATATTCCATAATCCGAGATTAATGTTTTTAAACCAGTGACTATTTATAAGATCAAATCTTTAATAGATTTGTAAGTAGAGTATTTTTTAATGTGTTATTCAAATATTATCCTTTGTTTCTCAGCTGAAAAAGGAATTGCTAATATTTAGAATTACTTGAATTGATTCAAGTCCTCACTTTGCATGATTTCCCCAACAGAGTCTGTAATCTTTCTGAAGGTGCTATTTCAGAGTGGTATTTCCCACAAAGAGCTACATTTGTAGTTGCCTAGAAAACCTAACCGATCTCAGTGGGATATGGAGGCATGAAGAGTCAAAATCATGCAAAACCTGTAGACTAGGTTAAAAGCACTAGGAAAAGTATTGCACTGGATGTATTTTTAACATACACCATGTACCAAAGGGAAATTAATCCAATTTGAAAATAAAAGCCATTAAAATCTTTAGAACTCTTTTTACATTAGGGAAAAAAAAAACAAAGACCCTATTATCATAACTCTAGTGCTGATATTATTACAATAGAATATAATATCTAATTAGCATAAATGCAAAACTCCTATCCTTATACACTTCTGAATTTATAACATCACTAAATCAACCTTTTTACAGAATTAAAATTTTCTACTTATTAAGAGACTACAAAGGAACAACAAGTGTTGGCTTTTGTAAGATTTTTATTTGACTATTCTGTAAAATTATAATCACACTTAAAGTTGTGAGGAAGAAAGCATTATTTGATGTCATTTTGTAATTTTCCTGAATATTTATGAAGAGAAGTTGCTCAGTCGTGTCCGACTCTTTGGGACCCCAAGGACTGTAACCTACCAGGCTCCTCCATCCACGGGATTTTCCAGGCAAGAATACTGGAGTGGGTTGCCATTTCCTTCTCCAGGAGATCTTCCCTGGAATATTTATGAGCCATAAAGAATTGTTCTGGTTGTCTGTTTTCGTCCTCTTAAAAACTCTACATTTTTTTAAAATCAAAACTTAATGGAGTTTATTTTAATGTAAGCATATAGGTACTGAAGGTTCCTTTATTTTCTTTCTTTTTTTTTCATCCTCAGTTCTCAAAATATACTGAATTAAAACCAGATATTTCTGGTTGAGATGCAGCCAAGAACTCCTTCATCTGAGCCATTGCTCTTAGCTAGAACTAGGGATCTGACCCACATCTACTAGGAAAGCCACAGTCCATGACTACCCAGTTGTCTTGGAATGAGCTGCACTGTCTGGGATTTCCAGGAAGAAAGCACTTTAAATCACTGAGTAATGTGCTCACAGGTGGGCAAGTGAGACTGGGCTCCCTGTCACTAATGAGCTCCCCCACTCCACCTCAACTTCCCCACATCGTTTGAGTCACTGCTGTGCTTATAAAGATAAGTCCAAGGGTACAACCACTTTATCTTCCATAGAAACCCAAAATGGACACGGTTTTCCATTATGTTTGATTCTGTACTGAAAGGTCTGGGAAGTGAGTGTAACATGAACTCATTCCTTCCGCTTCAGCAGACAGATGGATAGAGACATTCCAGTTTGTTTCCAGTCCTTTGTCTTCGGAGCGTTTTTGGCATTTCCCTCAGGAAACTGGAGGTTGTGACCTAAGGTTTCCTTAGTGAACATGCTTCTGTTTCCCACAGTTAACCTTACCCAGAAATGACATCTACTCTATTAGGTGAGGTTTTATCTTCATGTCCCAACTGTGTCCTGTGCATATTCAATGACACTTGAAAGCACAAATTCTGAAAGCTAACAATAGCACTGAAGAGCCAAACATGTCAAAATACTTTGATATAATCCCCAATGAAGATAACAATAATATCAAAACAAGAATTAAAAATTCTGTGAGGCTTGCCATTTTATAGTTGGAAAAATTAATGACTATGGATGGTAAAGCTTTCAGACAGTATGAATCAAAATTTTTCAGATAAAAAGTGTATGCTATTCAGCCAAGATTCTACAACTTGTTATTTTATCGCTATTGAATAGTTGTATATTGTTCAGCTGGTAGACTGGGAGAAGCCAAGACAATCTTCTGAAAGAAATAAGTAATTTAACAGAATCTCCCAAAGCCATACCGCCACCTCCGAGGTATGCTGGTGGCAAGCCAAGAATGTAAACTTCTGTGGATGGGTGTGAACTGATCAAAGTGTCATAATTTAACTTAGATTTACAATGACATTGTTCTACATCATTTATTTTAAAACGCATGTTTTTAGACAGATTTATCACTCTATTGCTTCTGTTTTCTGTTTTTCGGCCAAGAGGCTTGTGGGATCTTTGCTTCCCGACTAGGGATCGAACCCACACTCCCTGCCTTGGAAGGCAAGTTTTAACCCCTGGACCACTGATACTCAATTTAGTTTGGCTTGAATGTCATTTAACTCAAACAATTACATTTACTCGTCAATGTGGTATTTAAAGGTTGGTGGTTTTCATCTCATTCTTTACTACTCTTCAATGTTAACTTATTGAAGTTTCTCTTCCTGAAAAAGAGTGGTTTCTAAACAAACCACACTATTTTTTTCCACTCTCTAGTTTATCAAGATAAAATCCCATGAAGAATAACAGAAATTTGCCTTTAACTTTAATTCTAAAGAGGCACATAGTCAAATAGAATGTCTTACTAATTATTTTTTAAAAATGCTCTTCACCAAAGAATCTTTAAAAAATCAGTTTATTAATGTTTAAAAGTTGATAAAGCTATGTGCAAAACAATCCACATTGTCAGAAACCTATTAAATACTATTTTTTTAAAAGACATTTCTTGATTTAATTGCACTGGAAACCATACTAAACAGACACCAATATATTTTTATTCTTTGTGACATTTATACACATCTTCAATTAACTATTTAATGTACTGAAAAACTTGTCATGTTCCCTATCAGTTAAAGTAATGCTTTAAGGGCACAAGAGGATGGTATTTTCTGAAGAAATACACATTCAATGGTGTTAACACAGGTTAGGAAAATCCAATAAAATGCTGAAACAAATACATTCAAAGATTACAAAAAGTACTTTTAACACAACAAAATACAGCCATCCTGTTGGTTGACATGATTCCCACAACACTCTGAAAGAAACATCAACAAAAGTGCCAAAGATAGATGTTGTATTGTTAAACTCGTTAAAAAAAAAAAAACTCTCTTGGTTTACAAAGTCACCCCCCAACCCCGAGTCAGTTTTCACCTTCTTTTGCTTCTTTCTCCTATGATACTAAGGATACTGGCTGATGTCATTTAAATAAATTGGACTTCCTTATGCAGATTTCAGCCACAATGGATACGATACTGCAACACATTTCATTGCAAAGGTTTTTGCTGTTTTCTTTTTTAAAGTGACTGCAACTAAATTAAAAAACACTCATCCAGCTTAAGTGGAAACTTTGGCCTCAGCAAATAAAATTGCTTTGCAGCTCCAAACCGTCTCCACCACAGTCTACCGGCTGGATGCAGCCTACCTGCTACACATGCTCAAGAAATGGACCATGCCACACCCCCAGCTCTGAATGCCAGGTAGTTAAAATAAAAGGTAAGGGTATTCTGAGGAGGGGTGTGAAGGGGAAGGGAGGGTGGGATACCTAGCATAGTAGGTATGTAGAGCATACCTAGCAAAAAGCAGAAGTGCACACACTCACTTGCGTTGGAAACTTAAGTGAAAGAAAATATCTCCTCAAAGCTCCCATCAGAGATGCTTTCACACGGGGACATTAGTCTTTGAGGAGGGGCCAGACGAACCCTTCAGGAGCTTGACAATGCTAGACCTTTGGCTCAGTGCAAAATCAAAGCTCCGGCAAGGGGAGGAAATAGATTCCAGGCGAGGACCCGATCTCCACCCTTCCCAGTGCGCTGTTCACAGGAATAAGTCTACCCCACCAACACCAGGCCCTGCCAGACTGTTCTGCGCTCCTCCTCCCTCCCTCTGGCTCCGGACAGCTCCTCCCTGGCCTCAGTGGAGGCACAGAGAGTTGGTTGGTTGTGATTTTTTCTCCCCAACACTGGGGTGGTGGGTGACCATTTAAGAACACTCCCCATGGGTCGGCAGTTTTCCCTTTTAGGAAGAAGAGTTGACGTTTCCAGAAGACATAATGGTCTCTGGGTTGTCGCCATCGTCCTTCTGGGGGTGGGAGGAGTTGTCTGACTTACTGCGGCTGAATTCCATGCCCGCGATGATGGGCCGTGTGAATTTACCCGCGGAGTCTCTGCTAGGGCACTTGCAGCAGGACATGATCCGGACGAAGGCCCGACGCATCTCCTTGTTGGACAAAGTGTAAATGATGGGGTTGGTGCCGGAGTTGAGCACAGCCAACACCAGGAAGTACTCCGTCCTGAAGAGGATGTCACAGGTCTTGACCTTGCAGCCCACGTCGAGCAGGAGCAGGATGAAGAGCGGGGCCCAGCAGGCGATGAAGACGCCCAGGACGATAATCACGGTCTTGAGCAGGGCCAGCGACTTCTCAGAGCTGCGGCTGGCCTTGGAGATGTTCTTGCGGAAGGTCAGGCGGCGGCTGCGAGTCCTGACCAAGGAGTAGATCCTGCAGTACAGGATGACAATGGAGAGCAGAAGCAGAGTGAAGACGGTGGTGCAGAAGAGGATGTAATGCTTGTGGTAGAGAGGCAGCACAGTAGAGCAGCTGGGCAGCGTGCTGATGCAGTTCCAGCCCATGATAGGCAGGCCCCCCAGGATGAGGGAGATGACCCAGCAGGCACTGATGAGCAGGAAGGAGCGGAACCGGTTGCTCCCATTGTGGAGTTTCATCTTCAGCATGGTGATGTAGCGCTCGATGGCGATGGCCAGGAGGCTGAACACGGAGGCCGAGAGGGCCACAAACATACTCCCTTCCCGCAGAAACCACTGGGCGGGGGTTAGCTTGTAGGTGGTGGCCCCAGACAAGAGCAGGTTGGCTGTGTAGGCCACTCCCGCCAACAGGTCTGAGAGGGCCAGGTTGCCGATGAAATAGTACATGGGTCGGTGGAACTTCTTGGTTTTCCAGATGGTCAGCAAAACAAAGATGTTCTCTAGGATGATAAAGCAGCAGATGAGAATGAACACCACTGAGATCAGTTTAATGCCGTTGTCTTTGTCCGCGCTGATCTTCAGCTTTCCCGTGTAGTTATAATGCCGGACGATGATGTCGTAGTTGACATAGTCGGAGACAGGGCTGTGGAGGGCCTTGACCAGCGGGATGCGGGTGGACCCCATGATGCGCACTGTCCGCAGACACCCGGGGCGGCGCTTCTCCAGATGAACGCTAGAGGGCGAGGCGGAGCGAGCCTTCACAGAGCCAGGGTGGTTCAGGCAGAGAGATCCAGGATTTTTTGTGGGTTTTTTTGGCTGGAGAGGGCCTCGGAAACCACAGCCTTAAACAAATCACAAAGAGCAGAGAGTCAGGAAAAAAGCCACAGCACACTGGCGTAATTCATTCTAGCGAAGGCATTGCTCCAGTTTTCTTGTTGTTGATTTGTTTAAAGGAAACTTGGGGAGAGCGCAAGGAAAAGGATTTTTTGAAAAACATCAACCTCTCATTTCTTGGGGGAAAAAAAGAAGAAGGGGAGAGAGAGAAAGAAGGGGGGGGGGGGCGGAATTTACCCAAACTGAAAACTCCAGCTCGACAAGACGAAAACTTCCTCTATGGTTACATCCACTCAAATGGAAATGGGAAAACTGAAGGCGTGAGCCCCATTTAGTTCCACTCCTGCCTCCTCAACACACACACACACACACACACACACACACACACACACACACACACACACACCCCTCCACCTCGCCCAACGCTGCCCCCACCCCCATCGGGTTTCCAGCTCCAGTAGAAAGACTCTCTAAAGCCTTCACCGGCTTCGCGGCGGGCTCACCGCTAGCTCCTGGTCGCACCTTCGAAGAGACCAAACCACCAATGCGAGACGCACACCTCTGTACTCCGGCACTACCCAGCTAACACCACCTCCTAATTGCCATGCAAGAAGTTAGATCTGCACGAAAATCATTTGACAGCGTAAGTCACTTTTTAGGCTCTATTAATAATCTCTAGGAGCAGGTGTGCATAGGGTCCGAAGGCGCAGCACCGTGTGGGCAGCCAAGCCCTCCCTGGCCTTGCGGTAAACAGGAAAGCTTTAGCGCCTCCGTGAAGCAACTGCCTTTTCATTCTTCTTCTTCTTTTTTTTTTTTCCGCGCAAGTCAGTGCAAGAAACTATAAAAGTACTCGGTAAAAATCATTCATAAGCTATTGCAATAAATCCCAGAAGTTTCGTACACCCATTGATTGCAAAAGGAGTATTTTTTAGTTACTGTGGATATAGCCAAAACACGCATACAAAAAAGAGAAATTAAATTACACATGTTAAAAATACACGCCACTGCATTTCAAATTCCGAATGCAAAATTACTCTCCAGAAACTCATACAAACAAGTCTGGCGGTTCGTGGCTAAGCCAGTTTTATTTACTGCCCTCCCCCAAGACGCTGCCTCGTCTCAGAGAACTACAAAGTGTGGAGGGAATGAAACATGGCACGTGTGAGCAGAAGTCTTCCCGTAAGTTGTTTAAATGTTTCAGGGTAACATAACAAATGCGATTAAAGTGGAATTCTCAAGACTACAGCAATTCCCGGGACAGCAGAGGCTGCTCGGCGCCCAGGAGCTCCGCGCTTCCCCCCATCTAATTCCACACCCGGCTCGCTCGCAGGGCAAGTTTAAGCCCTTATCTCATCTCCCGCAGTCTTTGTCTATAGGAGTTCCCAAAATAAGCTCCTTCCCTCCCACTCCGCAGACCCACCGCAGCTTCCTCTATCCCCCAACCCCAGATGGTTCTACAAAGAGGACTTAACCCTTTTCCAAACTTTTTAGTGCGCCCAGAACAATCCGATCCGGCTGGGCGCTTGAGTAGCCCAGAGATGCTTGTTCTCAGCACTCAGAGATGCATGGTTTAAGTGTTTGCTTTGCTTCGCTCCGGTTTGAAAATTTTGTTTCTGCCTCTGAAGCCCTCCGGCCGCGATGCTCCCCCGCGCGCCGGGGTCCGCGCTGCACTGGGCACTCCATACCTGGCTCAGGCGGGACGCAGCTGCGTTCGCGGAGCTCCGGGTCTGCACTGCGCGCTCGGCATCTTGCTGCTGCGCGGGACTGGCTGCGTCGAGCTCTCAATTTACTCGAGTCGGGGTCCCCTCCCTCCGCAGCCGCACACTCCAATGGCCAACGCTCTTGCCGCGGCCGGGCAGACCGATCAGCTGAAGTCGCCGAGCGCCCCGCTGAGGCTGAGCGGCTTCTTTAGGAAGCGATGAGGAGGCGTCCGTGCCTCAAACCCCCACGCCCCTCCGCCCGCGCCTGGGGGCCGCAGGGTCTGTGCAGCTGAGACACTGTCCAGGAAAGATCTGCCGCAGAAACACACAGACAGAAAAAGAACCCCTCCTCCCCAAGGGAACCAAAAAAAGAAGGGGGGAAAAAAAAAGAAAGGGGGCGGAGCCTTGTGCCCCCTGGACTCTAAATGTATAAATCACGGCCCTAGCCCTGCAATCCGCCGCTCCCTGGCGGTGGAGACCGTTCTCCCCAGCCTCGGAAAAGAAGGGAGGGGATGAGCTTTTGGAAACTTTTCTCAGGGAGAGTCTTAGGAGAGAGAGGACGGCCTGGCGAATCTAGTGCGCCTTTCTGGTCCACTAACCCCGCAGCCCGTGGGGGATCGGAGTCCGAAGATTGTGGCCGGGCACTCCAGGCCTCACCCCGACCCCAGGCGCTCCTGCGGAGACAGGGGGAAACCGGCTCCGCGACCCCGAGAGTCCCGATCGTGTTCCTGGGGACGAGATGCTGGGAAGGGGTGCCAGAAGGATGGAGGAGACATGCAGCCCGGGTAGAAGAATGGCCTGGGAGGTTCCTCCACTTCAGCTCACCTCCCTCCCTCACCCTCATCCTTCTGCCGCCTCGAAACTTGCGGTCTGATGGGGCAGAAAGTGGCTTTCGCGGGGCGCACAGTGAAATGGGCCAGCTCGGGGCGAGGTGTTGTGCGGGGGTTCCCCTCACTCAACTGGGCGCAAAATCAGGCCTTGTGTCCCAGATTCAAGCCAGTGGTGAGGTCTGTGAGGAGGTGGGCAGCTGCCGAGGCCCGAGAGTTTAAACAGCTTGGGCAGCTCAGGAGTTTCCAAAGAGGAAAGGGCTGCCCGGCGCGGACCAGCCTAGGACCGGCAGCCGTCCTGGAGCCGGCGCCCTTGTCTGTCTTTCCACTTCGGAGGCCCCGAGCCTCCGTGCTCACAACTCGCCCACTGTTTCCTTTCGCTTGCATGCTGCTTCAGAACTTGAGACTGAGAGTCGGCCTTGGTCAGCACCGCCTAAGTGGTAAACTGAGGGCCCTTTTGCCCTGCACTTCTTGTAGCTTTGCAAGACGGTTTCCACCCAGTCTCTGGTCTCACTGGCTTCCCATCCAGGCAGATGTGAACTTAAAACGTCTCTGTTGTGCAGTTTCATTTAACACAGTACAGACACACCCTGTACCTGAATGACTCAGAAGGAGGTTGAATGAATAAACAACAACTCCTGGCTTCTGGGATTTTATGACTTTGCAAAGGGGGGAAAAAGAAATCAAATGACAGTTAGTATACAGTTGTGCCAAAAGCTCTCATCAACAGCCTTGGGCCCAGCACACACCCTCAAACTCAACAACAGTAAATTCGTAAGACAGAGAAACCAAGATAACGGTCCTCTAGAATAAACTCTGGGTTTGAGGATGCATTTCTCTTAAAAGGGATGATATGTTGAGTCTGCTCAGCACAACATAATGTGTGGACTTGGCAAACTTCACCCCATCCACTAATTTATGAGTTCTTTAAAGGGAAAAGAATTAAAGTAAATGCCACACCCAGCCTATATCAGGCATGTGATAGATTATCCAATTTAACAGTATTGCTCTGTGAAGCAAATGTTGTCGGTCATTTTGTTGATGAAGGAAATGTCAGGACAGTTTAAACCACTGTATTTTCGAGCTAATGAGTTGCCAAGCTAGGTTTGAAAACTCAAATATTACCGAAGCCATGTCAAGTGCCTTCAGTAAACAGTTAAAGGGGTTCTGTATGTATACAACTGTCTTGACAATGAAAGTCCTTTAAAACCACTTATTTCCTGACCATCAAGCTTCACACATATTAACACATTTTATCCTTACCTTACCTTTGCTTACCATGATCCTACACAAATTAGGTACTGTGTTTTTTTTGTTTGTTTTTGTTTGGATTTGGGGTTTTTTGTTGGGGGAAGGGGGCGGCGGGAGGGCTGTGCCATGCTGCATGTGGGATCTTAATTGCCAACCAGAGATGGAACTCGCATCCCCTGCATTGGAAGCGCTGTCTTAACCATTGGACCATAGGGAAGTTTCAGGTTAGGTACTATTAAAATCCTAATTTTACAAAGAAGGAAACTGAGTCTCAAACAAATTAAGCAACTTGGTTAGCGTGGGCGTTGACCATAGACAAGCTGCTGATTTCTTAACCGCTACTCCAAACCACCACAATAAACCTCAACCATGTCAAAGAATTATGTGGGGGAAGTCAGTCCTTTATTCGTGAATACTGTTGGAGGACAACATTCAATACTGATTCAATATTTAGAAGAGCTCAAATACTTTGCAGATGATTACTTAGCAATATTCATCCTTAGTGCACAGCTATGAGATATAAAATGTAGGCGAGCACTCAGGTAAAATTAGAAAGCAGTCACAGTGATTTGCAGCAAAGGCTTCCCTGCCAGTTTGATTCCCACATATGTCTCTTCCCATCACTCTCATGAGAGGCCCCAAGAGCTCTGCCCTCAAGCTATCTCCTGGCTATTAGCCCAGCTCCCTTTCAACTGTTGCCTGGAAGATAAGCCCAGTGTTCCTACCTTCTTCCCCGCACACTGAGCTTACCATCTGATGCCCATCACATTGAGGTGAATCCACTGCAGACTTCTTATTTCAAAGCAGCTTTGCTGTTCTTTATGCATGCTTTGGGAGACCTGGGTTCAATCCCTGGGTTGGGAAGATCCCCTGGAGTAGGGCATGGCAGTCCACTCCAGTATTCTTGCCAGGAGAATCCCCATAGACAGAGGAGCCTGGTGGGCTACAGTACATGGGGTTGAAAAGAGTCGGACATGACTGAGCGACTAAGGACATGCATGCTTTAGTGTCTCTCTTTAAGGGTTGCCGGATAAAATACCATGCAATATTTGAGAGATATATTGAAACAATTCAGATTTCACTGAGTGAGTGCTATTTTTATTTGCTAAATCTGGCAACCCTACTCTTTCCTAAAGGCTCCAGCCATTTTCCAACTTCACTCTCCCCCTAGTCTCCTGTGAGGATCCAACCCTTTCCTTATTCATTTGGTCATAGGAGAGTAACTAAACTCTCACTTCATGGAGAAACAGAGTATCCGACTTATAAATTCCAGCTTAATAACAGTTTCACCCACACTTACCTCCTTTCCACAACTCTACTCCTGCCTATATCACCATGCTGCTTTCCCCAAATTTTCTAAGGTAAAATCCTGCATAGGCCATCAGTATGTGTGTTTTTAGTTGTGTGCAACTCTTTTTGGTCCCATGGACTATAGTCTGCCAGGCTCCTATGTCCACAGACTTTTCCAGGCAAGAATACTGGAGTGAGTTGCCGTTTTCTACTCCAAGGGATCTTCCCAACCCAGGGATTGAACCCGCGTCTCTCATGTCTCCTGCATTGGAAGGCAGGTTCTTTACCAATGATGCCACCTGGGAAGCCCAACTTTCTAAAACTTGAATAAATTATCCCTTCTCTCTTCTGTACTTTCAATTATTGCCCTCTGATGACTCTTTACTTTCAACTTACCTTAATATTCATGTGTTTCCTCTACTCAAAACTTACTGTCTTCCCTTCATACTAGGTCCCAGTGTCTTTCTCTTCTATTTGCCAATATTCAGAACTATGTAATGGAATATGACTGAGTTCTGGAACCAGACAGACTTGGGTTCAGCCTTAATTCTACCAGTTTCTAGCTGTGTTACTTTGGGCAAATTCCTTTCACTTCCTGGAGCCTTAGTTTCCTCATCTCTAAAATGATGTAATGGTATTTCTTTCAGGAGTGTGAGGATTAAAGAGCTTCATATGTGTAAAGAGTATTATAGTAAATGCTTCACCCTCCCACCACTTCTATCTCTATAAGATTCATTGCTTTTCTTACCTCACTTTCCATCTTTCCATTCACTTTCCTTTTTGATTGTAAAATAAAATTATTTCAATAAAATTAATACATGCACATGCTTTTAAAAAATATATTAGAAAACTCACAGGGAAGAGCATTAGTCCTCCTCTATGACCCTCTAATCTTTCCAACCACTTTAGAATCTTATTGATCTTTCTCCTAGTAGCTATATGAGCTCTCTAAGCCACTATTTTATACCTCCACTTCTTGATTATCAACTTTATACAGTATCTGTAGTTTTTCCGCTATGTTGAAGAAGTATATGCTACCCTTAAGAAATGTACTTGTGCTATAAGCTTTCTAAATTCTTGCATGCCTGCAATTTAAAAAATTCTACTTTTACACGGGACTAATATTTTGGCTGAATACAGAACAAGAGATTGTAAGTAATTTTCCCTGAGAATTTTGAAGGCATTATTCCCTTGTCTTTTAATTTCTAGTACTACTGGTAAAAGGTTTAAAGCTACTCTGATCAAAACCTCACATGACTACATTTTGTCTTCTTTGGTTGTTTTTAGAATCTTCTCTTTCTCCATAGTGTTTCAGAATTATACAACAATATACTTTGATTTTCCAAGTGTTTTCCTGGAAAATCATCTGAAATTATTTTTTGGAAAGCTTTATTTTTCCTATTCTCTCTTTCTAGAACTTCCACTCTTCAGATTATGGCCCATTTGGACCGATATTTTAATTTTCTCATATTTAAACTTCAGTACTTTGGCCACTTGATGTGAAGATCCAGCTCATTGAAAAAGACCCCCATGCTGAGAAAGAATGAGGGAAGGAGGAGAAGGGGGCAACAGAGGATGAGATGGTTGGGTGGCATCACTGACTTAATGGACATGAGTTTGAGCGAACTCCAGGAGGTAATGAAGGACAGGGAAGCCTGGAGTGCTGCAGTACATGGAGTTGCAAAGAGTCGGACACGACTAAGTGACTAAACAAGGACATTTTCTATTTTTTTACATGTTTGCCTTGTTTTCTAGTTTCTGGGAGTTTTCTCAACTTAATCTTTTAACTCTTCAGTTAACATTTCCCTTGCTTTTATCAGGCTTTTAATTCTAAATGCTCTCTTTTTCTTTTATGAGTATTTCAGTTTTATATAACCCTGTGCTGTTGATGGCATTTTTCCTATTTTTTTTATTTCTCATTTTCCTGTTTGTTTTGGTCTCAGCCCTTTGTGTCAGAGGCTTTCCCACTGTCAGGTAATCTCTGGCTATCTATTCATATTTCAGACAGAGTCACTGAAAGCTGATTTAAACTCTTTGTGGGGAGCTTGTTAATGGAAAGATGCTGGGTGATCAGGCTGTGTTCTTTTGTTGGAGGATCCCAAATGTAAGCACCTGGAGATTTCTATTTCTAAGCTGGTCAATTTCACCAGAGGGGAATTCCAAAATCTCTTGTCTGCTTTCTAGCATTTTCCCAAGTGAATCAAGGAAGGGCAGGGGAGAGAAGTAGGGGGACTCTTAGTATTCCGTATTTAGATTTGAACTGAATCACAATAATGGGGATACCTACATGCATACTCTTAGCTCTGCCACGTGTCGCAAAGACTCTCTGATTTAGGCTCCAGGAAACGTGCAGTCATCTGCTGAAATGGGGGTATTGGTACTTGTCCTGTCATACAAGTTGGAAATGGTGGGCTGGAGATATGGCTGCTAATTTTAATTTGATTTAAAAAGTAATTTTATTTAAAAACCTAAAAGGAAAATGAATGAGAAGTAAGAGGTTGAAAGCAATGAGTCTAGCAGGGCTGGAGAGAGGCGGGTGGGAGGTGATATATAGAGCATCTTTTCTCTAGTAGATGTTTCACACTCACTCCTCTTATTTTCAGATCATCATTTACACCAATTTTCAGAAATACCTATAGCTTCCATGTCCTCACATTATTTGAGTATCTGTAGTGGTAATTTGGGCTTCCCAGGTGGCGCTAGTGGTAAAGAACCTGCCTGCAAATGCAGGAGATGTAAGAGACCTGGGTTCAATCCTTGGGTTGGGAAGATCCCCTGGAGGAGGACATGGCAACCCACTCCAGTATTCTTGCCTGGAGAATCCCATGGACAGAGGAGCCTGGTGG